ATAATAATAATACTGTATGGGGAAATTAAGGTTTGTAGGTACCCACAGGTGCTAGAGGGCTGCATTTAAGTCCTAGGGAGTCAATGTTGTTAGCCACAGCTTAAAAAGACGTGGATTTAATCAGAAAAGAGGATGCCTGATTACCTTAAAATAAGTGTTAATTAAATTTGTGATGTGAGGTCACTGATCTATAAAAAGAAACCCATGGTACAATACAAAACAGGACTGAATAAATGTTTGTAAGGCAAGGATTACTACACAAGCAGTTTTTCAAGTCTACATAGCCTTTCTTCCACCACTATACAATCAGTCAAGATTAGATGTTCATGTAACTTTTAACCATCTCTTTATAGCAGTTGTTGAGCAAGCTCTTGCCCCAGTCTTATCCCTCAGGATAGAACTTCCTGCTTCATTTGATTGTAATGGATGTAATAATATCTTTTCTGGGCTAAAATAAAAGAACCACAGAAATCTTCTCATCCTCCTTCTAACTATGAAGGCAAGTGGTAAATTAATGAGGACACTTATTTGCAGGGACAGAAAAAAACTACACAAGATTTTTTTCTCTCTTAAAAAAAGGTTTACTAAGTAATGCTCATAGAAAACCAAGGAGAAAACGATTATTTACCAAATTCCTGAACAAAGATGGAAAAGCATTTTTCCATTAAATTTTGGCACAGATATTTATCCTAATAAAGAACTTATACATTATGTAAAGGGCTTGTAAGCTCCAGTGAGTGCTACTACAGTATAGAGAGAAAAGACCAATGTGAACATCTTCCTAGTAGCAGAAGAAGAACAAAAAGAAGAAGCCATCAACTTGATTCTGACTTAGGGCAATCCTTACCCATGTCCCCTAGGTATAAAATACTCATAAGTAGTTAACTATTCTCTTCTTGTGGAATGTTCTGGATGCTAAAAACCATGAATTTCCCAACCTAGATGCTCCTGCTCAGTCAGCTAACAAGTCAGCTTTTGTATTATTATATATCTGTATAATCTTAATACAACATAGCTTCAGCTTGTAAACTTCCACAATAGAATGCTAAAAGTGACACTATGTATAGACAAACTTCTGTACCTTCAGGCAAGACTAAACACTACTAAGATTTTTTTTGTTCAAGATCTGTTCTTGTGGTTCTCTAAATATATCATCAGCAGAAACACTATTTGATCAAAGAGTCATTAATAAATGTCTTACTCACAGCAATAATACGCATTGTTCAGAAGATCTTAAAGCAACTAAAAAATACTGGATCCTAAAATTCTGGGAAATCAGATATGCAAAAGGCATCAAACGCAAAAAGAGAAAAAAGGCCAAGGACTCAGAGGCTAAAATCCTGTTACTTAGTATAGTCAGTCACACTAGAGTGGACCCATTGAATTTAGGGATTTCATTAACTAACTCCTCTGTAAGTTCCATTGATTCAAATTGGTCCACACTAGCTGCAATTTACTATGTTAAAATAAATAGCAACTAGAGTAGGCCTATATGAAACAATGGAATTTACAGATGAGTTGACTCACCAAATTCCCACTGATTTAATGGGCCTAACCTAGTGTGACTGGCTAAACTAAACAACAGGATTTCAACTGCAGTACTGATAGTTATATTAAGTCCTACTGAAATAAAAAGGACAAGTTATATGTAACAAATTTCCATTCACTAATTTCAGTGGAACTTTGGGCTAGTCTTCAAGTCAGGTACACCTAAAATTAAGGCTCCCATAGCAAAGCATTCATTTTTTAAAACTGTATATTTTTCTTATGCTCCAACAAATATGAGGTGTGAGGTTCAGCTTCAAGGACAAACCTTTGCAACACTAAACCAGTACTGCGTAAGTGCCTACACATGAAGACCTGGTTGCTATTTTAGCAGTGCAGAGACCGAGTTTTGCAAGCTTTCCAGTAGGTCTCGGGAAAACACTTCTGCTTTGTGCTGAAATGATGTTGTTCAGGAAATGCTTTTCATGTTTTAGAGGCCACACTCCAAATTATAATCATTGATAAAAAGGAACTGGGACATAATAAGCAAAGCTACAGAGTCATGTCAAATATTTATTTCCTTTAAAATTTAAAAATTAACATTTCTTCTATAATAAAGATGCACATTAACAAAACTAAACAAATAGAGAGTAGGAATACTTGCAGAACTGTAAAAACAGGAAGCCTGCAGACCCATGTACTAACATATGAAAGGAAAACTGAACTTAAATTCATTTATTTTTCTTACAACTGAATGCTCTTATATACAGTAAAATCTGGGTGATTCATTTAAAGTAAAGCTACTAAAAAGGAATGAATTTTGTAAATTATAAATTTAATCAGGAGCAGCAACTGAATGAATACAATTCATGGATATTTTAACAGTATGGCTCTATTCACAGCTCCACAGTAGTCAGTGCCAATAAAAATCTAACTTCAGGTTACATACAGAAAATATAAAGATGTGAAAGTAAAGTTGTTGTGGTTATATGCTGTCAAGTCAGAACTGACTTACAGCGACCATAATAGAGTATTCAAGGTAAATGAGGAATTTAAAGAGTGGTTTTAACCATTTCCACCCCCCAAACAGTTTCCATGGCAGAGCCATGGAACTGAACCCAGGTCTCCTGAGTACTAGTCTATTACTCTATCTACTACACACCACACTGTGTACTCAGACAGTAAAGTAGTGATAGCCTTTCCAACCTTCCAGATGTTGTGGACTTCAGCTCCCATTAGCTGCATGAGATAACCAATGGTCAGGAACAGCAAGAGTTATATTATAAAACATCTAGACTGGGGGTGGCCGCTCTAAACAAAGACACAGTAGGCACTGGGAGTTTTCATTATACTTCTGGGAACTTAAGACTACTTTGTTTTGTGAAGGATTTACTACGCCTCTGC